CCGGGTCGGGAACCGGACCAACCGGATCATCCGGGTGGGGAACCGGGTCGACCGGACCATCCGGATGGGGAACCGGATCATCCGGGTCATCCGGGTCGGGAACCGGATCGACCGGACCATCCGGATGGGGAACCGGATCATCCGGGTCATCCGGGTCGGGAACCGGATCGACCGGACCATCCGGGTGGGGAACCGGACTCAACCGTACCATCCCCGTGGGGGACCGGACCCAACCGGACCATCCGGGTGGGGTGCCGGGTCGGGAACCGGACCGACCGGACCATCCGGGTGGGGAGCCGGATCAACCGGGTCATCCGGGTGGGGAACCGGATCGACCGGGTCATCCGGGTGGGGAACCGGATCGATCGTGTGGGGAGTCGGACCAACCGGGCCAACCGGGTGGGAACTGGGCAGGGAACCGGATGGGGAACCGGATCTAGAGGACCGGCCGTATCGACCGGATCAACCGGGTGAGGAACCGGGTCAACCGGGCGGGGAACCGGATCAACCGCCCCAGCCGGGTGAGGGACCGGTTCGACCCGGTAGGGAGCCGGATCAACCGGGTCGGAACCGGGTAGGGAACCGGATGGGGAACCGGATCTACCGGACCGGCCGGTTCGACCGGGTGGGGATCCGGGTCAACCGGACTTGGAACCGGATGGACCGGACCGGACGGGGAACCTGATCTACCGGACCGGCCGGATCGACCGGGTGGGGAACCGGGTCAACCGGACGTGGAACCGGATGGACCGGACCGGCCGGATCATCCGGGTTGGAACCGGGCGGGGAACCGGATCGACCGGGTCGATGGATCCGGATCCCACCACCCTAGGCGTGATGGATCCGGGTCACACCACCCCGGTTGGGATGGATCCGGATCACCCCAATCGGGATGGGATGGATCCGGATCACCCCACCCGGGATGGGATGGATCCGGATCTCACCACCCTGGACTGGATGGATCCAAATAACCCCACCCGGGATGGGATGGATCCGGATCACACCACCCTAGATGGGATGGATCCGGACCGCACCTCCCGTGTGGGGATTGGTCCGGTTCGAAACACCGCGGGTGGGATGGGTCCGGTCCGAACCGCCCTGGATGGGATGAGAGGGGTCCGGCTCATTGTGGGCTCTAGGGTGGGTGTGGTTCATTGGACGGGGCCACACCCTCCCTAGAGCCCTCTATTTTTTTGGGTCACACTTCCATTCTCGACCGGGGTTCTTCGTGGGCCCAAGGGTGGGTGTGGGTCCTTGCACGGGCCCACACCCTCCCTAGAGCCCTTTACTCTATGGGTCGCACCTTCCTTCACGGCCGGTTGTGGTTCGAGGGCTCTAGGGTGACCGGTGGGGAACGTAGACCAGGGCGGGGGCAGGCTTTCTACGAGGTTCCTATCAACCCAGAGGGTCCTTTTGACCGGCTGGAATGAGGCAAGCGCTCAAATCAACCGGCCAAGGTTGAATTCCACCCTTGCACGGGCTCGGATGGGCTCCGGGACCTCTTTTTCCCGGTGCAAAGGCCCGGATGACCGGGGGGAAGTGTAAAGCAGGGTGGGAGCTTCCTTTGCTCGGGTTCCTATCCATCCCAAGGGTCCTTTTGACCGGCTGGAATGAGGCAAGCGCTCAAATCAACCGGCCAAGGTTGAATTCCACCCTTGCACGGGCTCGGATGGGCTCCGGGACCTCCTTTTCCCGGTGCCAAGGCCCGGATGACCGGGGGGGAGTGTAAACCAGGGTGGGAGCTTCCTTTCCACGGGTTCATATCCATCCCAAGGGTCCTTTTGACCGGCTGGAACGAGACAAACGCTCCAATGGACCGGCCAAGGTTGAATTCCACCCTTGCACGGGCTCGGGTGGGCTCCGGGACCTCTTTTTCCCGGTGCAAAGGCCCGGATGATCTGCGGGAAGTGTAAACCAGGGTGGGAGCTTCCTTTCTACGGGTTCATATCCATCCCAAGGGTCTTCTTGACCGGCTGGAATGAAACAATTGCTCCAATGGACCGTCCAAGGTTGAAATCCACCCTTGCACGGGCTCGGATGGGCTCCGGGACCTCTTTTTCCCGGTGCAAAGACCTGGGTGACCGGGGGGAAGTGTAAACCAAGGTGGGAGCTTCCTCTCTACGGGCTCATATCCATCCCAAGGGTCGTTTCGACCGGCTGGAATGAGTCAAACGATCCAAAGGACCAGCCAAGGTTGAATTCCACCCTTGCACGGGCTCGGATGGGCTCCGGGGCCTTCTTTTCCCGGTGCAAAGGCCCGGATGATCTGGGGGAAGTGTAAACCAGGGTGGGAGCTTCCTTTCTACGGGTTCATATCCATCCCAAGGGTCTTCTTGACCGGCTGGAATGAAACAATTCCTCCAATGGACCGTCCAAGGTTGAATTCCACCCTTGCACGGGCTCGGATGGGCTCCGGGGCCTTCTCTTCCCGGTGCAAAGGCCCGGATGATCTGGGGGAAGTGTAAACCAGGGTGGGAGCTTCCTTTCTACGGGTTCATATCCATCCCAAGGGTCGTTTTGACCGGCTGGAATGAAACAATTCCTCCAATGGACCGTCCAAGGTTGAAATCCACCCTTGCACGGGCTCGGATGGGCTCCAGGACCTCTTTTTCCCGGTGCAAAGACCTGGGTGACCGGGGGGAAGTGTAAGCCAGGGTGGGAGCTTCCTCTCTACGGGCTCATATCCATCCCAAGGGTCGTTTTGACCGGCTGGAATGGGCAAACGATCCAAAGGACCGGCCAAGGTTGAATTCCACCCTTGCACGGGCTCGGATGGGCTCCGGGGCCTCCTCTTCCCGGTGTAAAGGCCCGGATGACCGGGGGGAAGTGTAAACCAGGGCGCGAGCTACCTTTCTACGGGCTCATATCCGTCCCAAGGGTCCATTTGACCGGCTGGAACGAGACAAACGATCCCAAGGACCGGCCAAGGTTGAATTCCACCCTTGCACGGGCTCGGAGGGGCTCCGGGGCCTCCTCTTCCCGGTGTAAAGGCCCGGATGACCGGGGGGAAGTGTAAACCAGGGCGCGAGCTACCTTTCTACGGGCTCATATCCGTCCCAAGGGTCCATTTGACCGGCTGGAATGAGACAAACGATCCAAAGGACCGGCCAAGGTTGAATTCCACCCTTGCACAGGCTCGGACGGGCTCCGGGACCTCTTTTTCCCGGTGCAAAGGCCTGGATGACCGGGGGGAAGTGTAGTCCAGGGTGGGAGCTACCTTTCTACGGGCTCATATCCATCCCAAGGGTCCTTTTGACCGGCTGGAATGAGGCAAATGATCCAATGGACCGGCCAAGGTTCAATCCCACCCTCGCACGGGCTCGGATGGGCTCCGGGACCTCTTTTTCCCGGTGCAAAGGCCTGGATGACCGGTGGGAAGTGTAAAACAGGGTGGGAGCTACCTTCCTACGGGCTCATATCCATCCCAAGGGTCCTTTTGACCGGCTGGAATGAGACAAACGCTCCATTGTACCGGGGGATTTAGGGGCCAAGGCTCAATATCACCCTTGCACGGGCTCATATCCATCCCAAGATGGCCCCAAATGATGGTAACCCAACGTTATCCGAGTGATTGGCCCTGGAATAGGGTAGGGAATCGGGTATGTTGCCCCTCCCCAGCGCCATGGTGGTGGATTTCCGTTTGCCCCAAATGATGGTAACCCAACGTTATCCAAGTGATTGGCCCTGGAATAGGGTAGGGAGTTGTTATCTTCTCTCCATTGGGCCCTGGTGGGGCATTTCCAAACGCCCCAAATGATGGTAACCCAACGTTATCCGAGTGATTGGCCCTGGAATAGGGTAGGGAGTTGTTATCTTCTCTCCCTTGGGCTCTGGTGGGGCATTTCCGAACGCCCCAAATGAAGGTAACCCAACGTTATCCAAGTGATTGGCCCTGGAATAGGGTAGGGAGTTGTTATCTTCTCTCCCTTGGGCCCTGGTGGGGCATTTCCGAACGCCCCAAATGAAGGTAACCCAACGTTATCCGAGTGATTGGCCCTGGAATAGGGTAGGGAGTTGTTATCTTCTCTCCCTTGGGCCCTGGTGGGGCATTTCCGAACGCCCCAAATGAAGGTAACCCAACGTTATCCGAGTGATTGGCCCTGGAATAGGGTAGGGAGTTGTTATCTTCTCTCCATTGGGCCCTGGTGGGGCATTTCCAAACGCCCCAAATGATGTTAACCCAACGTTATCCGAGTGATTGGCCCTGGAATGAGGAAGGGGTATCTTGTCTCTCCCTAGGACCCGGGCTCTGGTGGGTCCGGTTCCCTCCCGGGCTGGGTCCATCCGGTCCCCAACCGGGATGGTCCGGACCCCCACCCGGCCTGGGTCCATCCGGTCCCCACCCGGGTTTAGGGTCCGGACCCCCACCCCTATCCTGGGTGGATCCGGATCCCACCCGAAATGGTCCGGACCCCCACCCGGCCTGGGTGGATCCGGATCCCACCCGGGATGGTCCGGACCCCCACCCGGCCTCGGTGGATCCGGTTCCCACCCGGGATGGTCCGGACCCCCACCTAGCCTGGGTGGATCCGGTTCCCACCCAGGGTGGGATCCGGACCCCCACCTGGCCTGGGTGGATCCGGTTCCCACCCAGGTTTAGGGTCCGGACCCCCATCCGGATCCCACCCGGGATGGTCCGGACCCCCACCCGGCCTGGGTGGATTCCCCTCGGTGGGGAATTCATAAATGACTAGAATGATGGTAACCCAACATGATCCGAGTGATTGGCCTAGGAATAAATTAGTGTCAGCTCTTCTTTGTCCCTCTCTAGGACTTAGGCTCTGGTGGGTTCGGTTCCCACCCAGGATGGGTCCATCCGGTCCCCACCCGGGCTGGTCCGGACCCCCGCCCGGCCTGGGTCCATCCGGTTCCCACCCGCTCAGGATGGATTCGGTTCCCAACCGGGATGGTCCGGACCCCCACCCGGCCTGGGTGGATCCGGTTCCCACCCGGGATGATCCGGACCCCCACCACCCGGCTTGGGTGGATCCGGTTCCCACCCGGGATGGTCCGGACCCCCACCCGACCCGGGTGGATCCGGTTCCACCAGGGTTGGGGTCCGGACCACCATCCGGGCTGGGTGGATTCCCCTCGGTGGGGGTTTTTCAATTCCCCCAAATGATGGTAACCCAACGTTATCCGAGTGATTGGC